GGCCAAATCCGCTCCTTAATCGCAGTCTGTCCTCCCATTGATGACCAGTGTCAAAATGGTCATCAATGGGAGGACTGTATGGGACTGTATGGCCAAATTGGCTGATGAATTCATTTTTTTTTTCATTTTTTTTTTTTTAATTTTTAATTTTTTTGGCCAAAGTGGCGGTTCAGTACCTCCATATCTTTGACTGCGGTGCGCCTATAGCAACCCGGTAAAACTTGATTTTCTACCGCAGGGTGATCAAGTAGGTGTGTTTTATGTGAAAGGCCACCCAATAGGGGAGGAGGATCTGGATTTCACCAGGATTTACCTGTGAAACCGTTGGGTTGGGGAGGTACATGGGTTGGTATAGCAATTGCACATCTAGCAATTCTATACCTCCCGAGGGAGGGAAAACTACATTTACCTCCTCTTTAGCACCCCCGGTGGCAGGGGCTTTTTGAGCTTGGGGGGGGTAAATTTGGCTTACCACCGCAGTTTACCTCCCTGGGTGGAGATGGTCTTAGCAAGGCTTTGTTTTCCTGGAGTTTGCGACCTGCGCAAACTCCTGGGGCCTGGAAATCCTACCTGGAAACCCCCTATTGTGTGTGAAAGGCCACCCAATAGGGGAGGAGGACCAGGATTTTACCAAGATTGCCCTATGAAACCATTGGGTTGGGGAGCTACATGGGTTGTTATAGCAATTGCACATCTGGCAATGCTATACAACCCAAGCGGTGGGCAAATCTGGAAGCAATAAGTAGAAGCCAAGTGTATAATCCTAAGGTGGATCCTCATTACCCCATTCAGGAGTAATAAGAAGTCTTATTTGCATTCACAACACTCAGACTTGCCACTTCCAAGCTGGCCTCCAGGCATGTACTCGCTTGCTGGTGAATAACACTCCCCGGCGATGTTCTTGTACAGGTTCATGGAATCTCACTTGGAGCAAGTGCACATCCCTCTTGCCTGCTCACCGGGGTGTGATTGTGGAGGATTCTTGTCACTGGGGCCCACTTTGCACCCTCCTGGCAAACAAAATTTCTGTCTGGGTACAAGTTGCTCCAGGCCGAGCAACGCTTGAAAAGTGATACTCAAATCCAGGTCTTGAACAAGTGAGGCCAACTTGCTGGTCTTACAAAGCTCTCCCTTAGGAAAACATCTTGAATTGTATGTAATCATAGAGGCCATCAAGCCCATGGAAATCAAACTTTAGCTCACTTCACTTTCCAAACACACAAGTTCACTGAGAATTTAGCAAAGCTGGATTTTCTTTTGTTGATGAGGGCTCCTTTCATTACAACTGCATGTGGTGAACAAAAACATATGTAGTTAGGATCATATCATGCGTAACCAATACACAGATATTAATATTTCATTATGTATTTCTGCTCTACTTATTGTTTCCAGATTCCGTCAGGCCAACCCAAGAGGGGGGAAACTATATTTACCTCCCCTTTAGCACCCCCGGTGGTAGGGATATTTTGAGCTTGGGGAGGTAAATTTGGTTTACTTGCACAGTTTACCTCCCCGGGTGGAGATGGTCTAAGGCCAGATTACTGCTGGTACCTGCCAGAAATGTGGCCGGTATCTGCCAGACGGTGTCGGTTTTTGGCTAAATGGCAGCCAGTACCCAGGTTCCACAGGGCCATCTATACTTCCTGACCCAGCAATTTCTCAGTTTAACCTTGAAGAGCTTATTCTACCTCAATTTGGTAGGGCAATGGCCATTCCAGAGTTGAGTCGGGTGGAGCCGGTGGGGGTGTTGCTGAGCTGTCAACACTCTGGCTGCCGTGACAGATGTGTGTAGTTCCTGGTGACAGCTCCTGAACCCTCGGGTGCCTGAGTTTCTACAATCTTCCTTTTTCGAAAAAAAAAAAAAAAAAAAAAAAAAAACTGAAAACGACTCAACAACAACCAACAACCTGCAACCTGCAACTCGAAAAGAGGAAAACCCCAAAGAGAACAACAACAACCCACAGTGTACAAACGCAAACCGACCCACACACAGCAGCATAACGAAAACAAAACCAACTAGAACGACTGCAGGAGGAAGAAGACAGGAAGAGAGAAAGGCACACACACTCTAACAACCTCAAACAACCATGCAGAACCTTCAACCAAACTCATCCGCACTACACACTCAAGACCACTATCATCATCATCAGAAGCAGCAGCAGCAACAGCATCCATCTCAAGAGACCACTTCAACACCACAAGCTGGCACGAGCTCAACTTCAAATCGACAACTCCATCCCAACCCCAAAACACTCTACTTCCCAGTCATCGATCAAGGTCACACTCACCGATTCATTCATTCAACTCTCAGCTCGATTCAGATCAACTCAACTCACCATCCTTCTCTCCTTGTTTCCGTTTTTTTTGGCTCCGTAAACAGGTCATCTACCAGCCGCACCGATCAGCGGCTCTCACGACCTACTCTCACTCTTCAATGTCTCCTCAATGTACGACTGGTTTGTTAAACCCTACCTCAAACCACTCGACCAGACCAACAAACTCGGCCCAACCAATAACCATCACCATCATCACTTCCCTAACACGAATGGTGACCTCAAAGGCAAAGGTAAAGCTGATATCGACCTCACTGGTCTATCACCAGGTGAATAGCTCAACACACACACACACACCCCTGTCTGGGATGCGATTGGTACCTTGTCTTTTCTCACTCTTTCTTCTCTTAAACTCACCATCTTTCTCTCTGCTCTCTCGCTCGTTGCTTGCTATACATCACGACGACCTCGTAGCGCAATTGGAAAACTTGGGTCAAAAGCGAATCAAGATGGAGAAGTCGTATGGACATTTTGTAGCTGATGTCGGAGGTTAGTTTACAAACACCCTTCTAAACTCGACGCGTAAAAAAAAGAGAGACAAAAGACCCTCTCTGGATGTTCATTATCAATCACCTTTGGTTGACACGGGAATTCTCAGGTCGCAATTCGATCAAGAAGGATCACCAACTCGAGACTTGGATTAGCGACCCCAATTTCCAGGAAGCCAGCGTCCCAAACTTCTTGAAACCATTCTCAAACGAAGCCTTATCTCAAGCGTTTACCCTTCAACCTGGAATCTTGCCCGGCGTTGGTTTGAATTTCACTCCTTCCTCCCTTCTCCTGTCTTCGAGGGTTATCGACTGAGAAAGTTCCTTTGGCTTGCTTGCTTGTTGCACACTTGCAGTTTGATAGTTCGGTGTGGGTTGCTGAGGAAGGCGGGCCCAAGAAAAAGGTAAATCAGTTCCCCACGGCTCTTCACCTGTTTTGAATTTCATTGCTGAATTGGCTTTCTTCTTTTGTCTGGAACCTGACTCAACAGCGAAAGAAACGGAAACAAGGAGAGATGTTAGCTGGCAGCAACTCGACTCTAGCGGCTGCACACCTGCAACAACCGCACCAGAGTCCGACTCAACAAACGACGATGACGACAACAACAACGACGACGACGACAAGCGGAACGCCGACGCAGTATGCAGTGTCTTCGACCACGCAGGCCCAGCCCACAAGGCCGCTCCGAGCAAGCATGGTCGACCCGTCCAGCCATCTCAACTCGCATCCTCACTCTTCTCATCATCCTGCCGCTCAAGCCTCTCATCTCCATCTCCATCAGAATCAGCAACAGCAACACAACTCCCCAGGAATGTTCTGTAGAGAGGATGACTATCGTAAGAAGAAACGGGTCAAAATCGGAAACCCTGCCGCCGGTAAAACTTCCGGCTCCGGATCTTCTGGCCCCAACCATCAAGTCGCTCTCCAATCTTGATCCTTCCATTCCACCTTCACACATATATACATACATACATACACCACTCTTCTTACATATACATTGAACATTATTATTATTATTATCAATTTTCTTTTTTGACTTCGTTTGTACTGCTCGTTTCTTTCTTCCCTTCCCTGTTCACACCTTTCTTTATACATATACAACAAAAAAAATCCTTATTTCATTATACATACAAATGAATATATCTATTTCTATATATATATATATATAGATATATATATCTAGAGCTTTCTATCTGTTTTGTTGATTACTATTAATAAGAAAATGAAAATAAAAATTTGTGATTTTTTTTGGTTCTGGTTAGCTTATCAAGTGTTTGTTGATTCTTTGGTGTGGGGTGAAGAGTGGGAGAGGGAGGGATGAGAGTTATATACATGGGTCATATGTACAGATGTATATACCTTTTCTCATTTGTTTTTCTACATTATATGTTTATGCATGTACATGTGCACATACATACTTACATAGAAGATCTTACACTTAATCTTTTTTGCCTTTGTATCTTTGGGCACATACAGTCAAAACCTGTCTAAGGGCATACCCTTCTGTGTGCATAACTTGTCCAAGGGCATGGTGGAGGGCTTCTCCCAAATCTTCATATTGCTGCAAATCCACTCCCTCAAAGGGCATAACCTGCTTAAAGGCATACAAAGCTAGGGAACTTGTGGCTCCACCATCCCACAACATTTAAAACAGAGCCAACTGAACAGACCAGGTGCCTCATCTCTTTTGAATCTACACCTCAATGGAACCTGGGACATCCCTAAAACAAACTATTTTTCCATTTCACCTGCCCAGACACCTATTGTTTCACTCCCATGAACAAAAAATAAATCATGGTCTCTACTATTGCAAGGTACAACATACCACTATTGATCACACCTAAATTTACAACATAAGTAGCCTGATTCAAACCTCAAACAATCCAACAAGCAATCCCCACCCATTTTGTCACGTGGGACAATCCTGCATCCAATTGGCCATATTCTGAGAAAACTGGCCAACACAAAGATGGACCAATCTTGTTTGGGGGATTTGTTTGATGCCATTGCCAAAGCGGGCAAGAACAGGAAGACCAACAGATAGTATGGGATCAATAAATTGGTAATGGATGATGTTGCTGTGCAAATGAGGAAAAGCAACAGATGATCTGACATGTCTGGAGATGTTTTAGGTCAAACTTTAAAGTTTCTGTCATCTTGAGCTCAGTCTCAATCCAATTTCCAAAAAATGAACATTTCAAGAGGATCTTTAGGCCTTGTTTGGCCCCAATATTATTCAGAAATACACGCCACATCACCTCTTCTTGACTACCCTGGCCTTGCAAAAAATATTTGAGCTGTATGTTTAGATGTAATTTTCACACTACAAGAATGTAATATCCATCAAATTTAGTATCCACCAGTTGAATGCTGTTCCAGCTATTTAAACTTTGGGATAGGTGGCACATATGGTACAAGAATAGGCTGCTGACAAAGTGTATCTTGAGTATTTATTTGTTCCTTGGAGGACATCTTGGTAAGCTGTTCTATTCATCTAATTGTTGCTCAAGTACTGCAAGAGTCAGCTTTTGACTCTTCACTGTTCATTTGGGAAGGACCAGTACAAGGCTCAATAGTCAGGGAGAAATTCTAGAACCAACAGTACTGTTGCATTACAAGCACCAGAGAGGAAGAAATCTCAAAAGTACAAGTAGAAGGGGTCAGAAGTAGAAAGGAAACAAAAGAGTGAGAGGTCAAAAATAAAGGACATAACTAGCACCAGAGAGGAAGAACTCTGCCAAGCTAGGAAGGGGAGGGGAAAACTCAGATTAATTACAACAGTTTAGCTGGGGATTATGTCATCTGTTACATTCTTGTGAAGTCTACAAGGCCGGGGGCTTCACAGTTACATAAGGCCAATTTATTTCTCTTTTTTGGCAGCTACCTGGTATGAACCCTTTTCCAGCACAATTAGGAGTCCTGGTTTTGGACAATGAACATGTGGAAGTGGATGAGCTTGTTGAATCAAAATGATGCTTAATTCTTCAACTTCCCAGCTTATGAATCCCCTGACTTGAAGCAAATCAAGAAATTTGTCAGTGCATACAATCAAACTAGAAGCAGATATGATGAGTGGCTGACCAGTGGTGAAGAAGACTACACTGTCATAAATGAATTTGTCTGCTTGGTTCTTCCTTCCTACTGGACCAAATTTTATTTTGTCTTATTCATATTAGCCCAGTTCACAATAGCCAGTTCCAATGGCTGACCACCCCATTAAAAGTTGCTGGTAGCAAATTTTTTTTAGGATGGATCTGGAATAATCTGGGGGACTCTGGACTACACATTCAAAAACAAATGTGTTTTTAATTGTCGATGATTTGCTGATGATGGCTAAAAATTTTGCTGATGACTGGCTATTGTGAACTGGGCTATTGACAATTGTCTCACTCACCAAAATTTTACAAATGAAATTCAAGATTTCCATTCCAATGCTTGTTTTATAAAATCCAAATGACCAACAATTTATTGATGAGCTGTTAAATGAAGTTGTCAGGTAATCATATGCTTGGACTTGTCAGTTGAACAGGATCATAAGGGAGGATTGCTTTCTTCATAGATAAACAAAAAGAAAACAATCAAGCAGTTACAAGATAATCAGATGAGACAAGCAGTACAAGACCATCAAGCAGTTAAGAGCAAAAGCGGATGAGACAAGCAGTTAAGAGATCAGCATTACAAGACAAGTAAGCAGTAAAAGCAAACACATTGGTGAGTGGTTTAAGTTCAGATTAATGTAACTAGTATAAGCTAATCCAAGCCCTCAACCCCACTGGGTCCAACTCAATTGGAATAGACTACTCCCGGAGTAGGATTTGAGCTCAGCAAGAGTAAAGGATTAAGAACCAGTTGCATTCTACAACATGCATGTGAACTTGGCTACTCCCAGGTTTACACCACACAGGATTGGTTGACAACCCAGAGTAGCACTAATCCAGGAGTAAGCTACTCTGCTACTCCTCAAGTTACACCCGGGCCAATGAGGTTGCTCTAACAAGATGAGTGTTACAAGCTAGAAAAGTAGGCAAAATAGGTTTGTTTTTTTCAACAGACAGCACAGAATTTTGACCCAAAATGTAACATGCAGATTTTGTAATTGGTGGATTTGTAGCCCAAAAACACCCTCAAAAAGAGACTTGATGTCTCTTCTTGTGGTATATCTCAAAATTTTGGATCATAGTGTAGTTGTTGGCAGGTTGGGTGGCATAGTTTTTAGCAGGGGGGGGGGGTCCATATTTTCTGAAAAGTGGTGTGCTATAGTTGTTGGCTGGTTGTGCAGCATGGTTTTTGGCTGGTTGTGCAGCATAGGTTTTTGCCAGTTGGGCAGCATAGTTTTTAGGTAGAGGGGAGCCATAGTTTTTGCCTGGTGGGGGTGGGGCACCAGGCATGTTGGGTGGTGGAGTGCTAGACTAATGGTCCTGTTGAGGTCCATACTGACTAGCTGGTGTGGCTCAATACTAGTGTTTGGCTGGTGGATCCCTGGACATGCAGAATAAAGGATGACTGGTGGTGGGCTGTTGTTGCAGACAGAGTGCATTGTGGTGAGCTCAGATGGTTTGCCAGTGCAGTTTTGGTGGGACCCCATGTTGTTTTGTTGATAAGACATTGGCTGTGTAAAACAATAAAAAACCATCATGTTGTCACTAATTGGAGATGGAGTCTTTTGGATTGTTGAAATTCAAATAAATGATGAGGGGCTTTTGGAAGGTTGGAATAAAATGTAGCAGGCTGGTTTATGAATGAATGAAATAGGATCAAAACAGGGGAGTTATTGGGCATTCTCCTTTTTAATGCCCCCATCCTCAAGATTTCCAGGAGTGAAGGTTTTAAAAGTGGTCCAATGAGTGATGCCAAGTTTGTTGAACACTTGAAATCACACCATAGGTTGGATCAACATTTGAAAATTGTAGATACTCATCTCATTTGACCAGCTCTTTGGGGTGGATTGGCAAGGAGGGGGTCTCAGCAAGTTAAGTTTGAGAAACTGGTTGAGTCCCAGCATACTAAACTTAGCCTGATGTCAACTTTCATAAAGTGAGCATTTGGTTTCAGCTTTCAGCAGATTGAGTTCATAAAAGACTCTATCACATTTGATCATGACTGAAAAATTTATCAAACCATGATTATCAAGCTCTTTCACAGGATTGGCAAGGATGAGATCCCAAATGATGTCAATTGTGGCCTCTTTGAAAAGAGAAAAACTCTTATGGTTTACATCCCAAAGCAAGAAAAATCTCTTTGATGGTGTGACCTTGGTAAATTATTGATCCTCTAGTTTGGGGGTGGCCTTTTGTTTGTGTGAACCACGAGTAGTTTTTAGTTTTTTGACCTCAAATATAAGATGTAATCTAACAAGATCTTCTTTAGGGGGCTTGAGGTTCCAGATGTTGGAAGCTGGAGTCACAGGGTTTGGTGATAGGGTGGTTATGAGCTTGAGGTTACAATTCATAACACTGCTAAATGGGGCCTTAGGGATAAGTTTAATACTTTTATAACTGGAAGAAACTTCAGTTGCACTTGTCAAAATGTTGAGAACCAAGAAATATTGACTCCCTGCCAGCAAACATTAAAAAGATAACCAGGTTCTAGAAGTCCCTTCCAAGGCAAGCTGCCATTTGATTTTGTGGGGTATAATTATATCACAGATGGTGAAGAGCAGTATCCACTCCTACAGGAAGCTTGATCATATTTACAATTTGGTGAGTTCTATTGGGTTTTTATTCTTTTGCTTATGCATAGTACCAAGCCATAATATTTGCCAAGTAAAAAAACTTCTGATTTCATACAGGTTGATTCTACTGGTGATGCCTCTTTTTTTAGAAAGTCATAGGTCAGTTCTAATCCTCTCACCTGGGCAGGATTCATGATTTTCAATGGAGCAGCTTTCAGCTTTTCTAAGTACTTCTGTTAAACAGGTGGGGTCAATTGATTTAAACGTTACCTATGGGCAAGGCAAATGATCAAGCCACGTGAAGTTTGCTTTGTTGTTTGACAAATCCTTGCTTTCTTCCGAAGGACAAAAACAAGCGCTTGGTAACAAGTAACACTTCTTCGGTTGTCACTTTCCGTTTCTTTCTGTGTGGTGCATAGCACCTGGGACGACCCAGAATTCATCCCCAAATCAATATCTAAAGCTATGTGCTGCCAGACGTCCATTGCCACGACACTCAAGATGTTTCGAGCCCCAGTGATGCTTCTCAGTCATGACTTATCTGTTCATTTTTTGTGGGGCCAAACGTGCCACTCGACACCCGTTGTCATGTGTCGCAATCCGAGTGTCGGTTCATAGCATTGGCGATTAACAATAGACCGGTTGAAGCACGCCAACTTATCAATATCCTCTTGAAGCGTTTTTATCGCATTGACAAATAGCCTTCAAAATTTTGTATCTTTTGCTCCAGAGCATTCACATCTATACCATTCTTATCCTGAAAGACCCAAGAAGAAAAAAAGAAATCGATCTAAAATTCAAAAGAAACATAAATAAAGAGAAACGAATTTACATACAATTTACAAACCAAAGCCTCTGAGAAGTACTGCTTCATAGTTCCAAAATCAAGATCAAAACTGAGAAACACACGGTGTTGTCAGACATCTCAAATTCAAAGCTCCAAGAATTGTTTCTAGATCATTTTTGTTTACAACTCGTTGTGCACATGATGCTTATAAGACAAAATTCCACTCTATCAATTCTTGCTTATCTCATGGCCATAGGGTTTGTATTCGTATTCTCTTCCCAACCAGATGTAGGTTACAATACCAATGGAAAGCTACTTGAAATGCGGTGAGTACGTTGAAGGCCTACCTCATGAATTCCGCAACAATGACCAAACTGAATTTTTTGAATCTAAATTGTTGGTTGTTATCTAAAACTAACACTCAGAGCTATTGATGCAACAATCAAGAAACCTTACCATGGCAACAAACTTGGGAAGAGAAAACCTGCTGAACCAAGTCCTCATCAGAAGGCTCAAGCAAAAATAGCTGGGGAAAATTTGAACATCACCAATGAAGAAATGCAAAGAGCTTGTAACACATTGTACCAGTTGGCTAACTCTCCAGAACAAACTGATATGAATTTAGGATTGATTTCTCTGGTCAAAGAACAACTGATCCAATCTGTAAGAAACAATTGCTTCAAATTTGATAGTAGATTGTTCCAAATTCTGATCCTATATTTTCCCTGGGAAATGGGTATACCAGAAAAAAATGCAAGACCAGTATAGAAAAACAATTTCAGATGTTTACTCTGGTAATTCAAAAGTTAAAGCTGCCATGAAAGATATTGGCTTGTATTCACAACCCTTTGAGTAAGATCCTTTCAAATCTATTTTCTTTCCATGCCAAAATGGTGTCTCAACATTCCCTCATGCGTTTATTTAATCATTCAATACACAGGTCATCCTTCAAAAAATTACAATCACTTCCAAATGATAGAAAACCACCAATTCAATTGATTGGGCAAATTCAGGGTTTTCTAGGAAACTTGATTAAAGGTCAGAAAAGCATCTTAATAACTTCAATATGAGTAAGAGTTTTTCTTAGAACTTCATTTATCTGAAATCAAATCAATCTCTTCCAATTCATTTCCTTTCTTGAAAAATAACAAGATGATAAAACATTGATCCAAGTTTCAGGATACAAGCCACCAAAAAAAGGTCCATAACTCCTGCAAAGTTTCCCTATCTGGATTCTAAGGTCTTTTGTGAAAAGAACATCTGATTTCTCATTTCAATTATGTTCATTTTTGTCAATATTTCTCTATCCATTGAATCTCATCCATTTTAAGTCTCCTCACTCCTTTCAAGTTTCCTCATCCCTTTCAAGTTTCACATATCTAAACTGTAGGACTTTTCCTGTATACTGTATCATTTTCCTGATTTGGAATTTTGTATTGAATGTCAATTTAGTGGTGATAGTGTGGAGAGATCACAGAGGGCTTGGGCCTTCCTGGGCCAGCATTTGGCCTTGATTCTATGGACACTGGTGCCTAAGCTGTGCTCCCATTACCTGGCATGGTTATTTTTTGAATCTTATTTATATTCTTTTCATGGGCTAAAAAAGGAAGATGTAAAACTCAAAGCTCAATCCAAACCAAATGGAGAGAAAGTTACACAGTGACCTCCAACCTAGGTAAGTAGGTTTCCAGTGCAGGGTCATGGGTCAAGATGTGGTATACAGTTTACTGAGTCCAAAGATAAGATGGAAGTGATCCAGTGAGGAAGCTAAAACATGTTCTAGGTTCAAGCTTTGGCAGAAGCATGCTGTAGTCTATAAGCATACATCTCAACGTCTAGTCTTTTAGTGCAGATTTGCAAGGCTGTTTGCGATATCCAAACCCAACTTATGCCTTCTAATTTTAGATAAGATCATCAACCCCAATAATTACTGTCAGCACAGGAGAAAAGTTGCATTGGTGTAGCACAACCACGCCTTCTGTTAGTCTTCAGAAGGACGTGAATGATCAGCTCGTGTCAGAGACTGCAAGGACTCGACTGGGTACAGGGACATGGATAGTTACATATACACAAAAATACAGAGCCGACTCAGAGGAAAGTCGTGCTCAAGAAGAGAGAGAGCGATAAATTATTCTATTAAAACGACGAGGGGGTCTACCAAGACAAACTCAGAGATTGGCTGGATCGGTTCCTGATGATGGGGAGGGGGAGGATTGCTGTGGATGGAGACGAAGTGGATTCCGTATAGTTGAAAGATGCCCGGCTTCAGGCCGATTAATCTGATCTTCACCGCTTGACATTCCCCACCGCCCAACGGCCTTTCAAAGCGGAATATTTACGTCAGTCCAGCTACCTCAAATCCCCGACCATTTTCGTACATGGCAATACAGAATAATGATTAGAAGTAGGAAAAAGAGGATGAAATGAAGAATCGATCTGCCAAGTCGAGTTTGGCTTTTTCTTGTGTTCTTGTTTGTCAGAGGGGCTGTCAGTTGATTGGTTTATTTCCTGACCCAAGCTGAACAGGTGGAAATCCCCCTTAGGAAATGGCTTTTGAAAGAATGATAAAAAACCCAAGAGCAGATCAAGAGAGGTAAAAAGAACGGGAGAAAAGTACTGACCCGATTTGAATGGCCTCGTCTAACGAAACAACGCCCCCACCAATATCATCAACATGATCGTGATCAGCCGGATGGAGATGCTGAGGAGGAGCGAAAAGGTGGGTCCGACTTGGTTCGTTGGGACTAGGGAGCTGTGTATGATTACTACTCTTAAGAAGATTAGAGTTGGTGAGGATCTTGACTTTGAATGGTCCTTCGGTCGTCGCTGAAGAGGAGCGATTAAAAACCAGGATTTCGACAGCGAATTCTTGTAAGACTTTGAACCGATTTGACCCATCGCCGCCTGTCGGACTTGAACAGTTCACCTTGATCATTATTCCGCCTCTCTCACCTCTCAATCCGTCAAAAGGTCCACCGATCGCACCAGTCGGTATCGCGTGTCCAAAGGAAGACTCAATCAGGACAGGCGTGCTCAAACTTGATGTTTGACCCGGAGGCCTATTAGTTTTGTTGGCTTTGTAACCTCCCGTATAAGCTCCCGGGTCGCCTTCAGCAGGTTGATGCACTCGTTCGGGCACCCGAGGTGACGGATGACTGGCGGTCGGAGTAAGTGTTCTACGTTTATTGTCTTTCTCTGGAAGAAATCGACGACCGGTATTGGGTACACTGGAAGGCGGAGGGTCGGTAAAAGACGAGTCTTCGGCGTAGGCGTTCTGATGGACGAATGTCGAGCCGTGAATGGCGAGTGGCGATAGCTGCTTCTGTCGCATTCGGGATCGCTCCGACGGTAACGGTAGTCCTCTGGTTGAGCTTGTCCTCTGAAAAGTCGACAGTTCCTGTAGGGCATTCATTAGGTTGGATGCTGTATGTCGCTTACTGCCTGCGACTAACCCGCCGTGTGGTAACACCGATCTTTTGTAGTGATGATCGTCATCGCATCTCCTGGGCAGGATAAGATCATGAACTGGGCTTCTCCAAGCAAATTTCTCAGCTTGTTCATCGCCACGATAAGGTACCAGTGGAATTCCCATACTCTCTTCGGTGGTCTGTCTGCAAAGGTCGAGAGTTGCCGAGTCGGACAAGTCGAGTGAGCTTAGCAGACAGGTCCACGTGCTGCCGATCGGGCCAGTCGATTCGATCCTTGAATGCTTTGAGACCATTTTCCCCCGGATGGTAATCGAGAGCAAGTAGACCACGCCAACCGAATTCTTGAGTTGCAGGCCGACTTCAGACCCAGACGTATCATCAACACCAGGATCATGGGAATGCCTAAGCGGGGAAGCTCTGGTCGATTTGTAAGCCTTTCCAGGGCCTAAGGTAGTCGATCCACCTCCCGCTACATAATTTTCGGCTCGTCCGACGGCCGTGCAGCTCGACAAATTATCATCTTCTGCAAGCTGATATCCCTCCTGAACAATCGGGATACCAGTTTTTTGATGGTTAAATGCAGAGTTCACGCTCGAAATCAGCGTGGATGGAGGTAAGCTAACATTGATCGGCAGATTGTCGTACTGCAAACAAGATGAGGCGTGGCGTTGACCTTGCTCAGGCAGTAAATCTGCCGGTTCGATTTGGACGCCATAAATTAAACTATGTATCTCGTTCCGCGATATTCGATAAGGCAGATTACCATCTGGGGGCTGAGTTGGATGGATGGGAATGATCGTAATGGTACTTGTGGCGGAATGATCAAACTCGGGGAACAATCCTTGTTTTTCGATTTTGATATCAAGTCTCTCCAACAAGAATTCATCATCTATGGTACCCATTGAGTCTTCCGGAAAGCTGAGTTCTAACATTAGCATTGGATTGAAAGGCTTTTCCATCTCGATAAATCCGATTTCAGGATGGTTTGATAGCTGAGCCGCCAAACCTCGGGGCTTCAATCGACGCTGGGGAGCAATCGTATCAACTCTGAGGATGAGCGGGTCAACTATTGGAATCATTGACATGAGATGCCTTTCGAGATATGGCAAGTCCGATACGTTTGGCTCGATTTCCTGGTAGGAGGGAGTGATTGGAGCTGGCTCTTTGTGGTAAGCACTGCTGAAAGCTCTCCTGGCTATAGGAATTGAAATTGCCGGTGCACTCTGCCTACGTTCTTCCGGGTATGAGGGTAGATAGTCCTCTGATCGACTGGGATTGGCCATACCTGAGGAGATCTTGAGATTCGGATGTGGATGTGAAAATCGATTAGAAGGTGACCCTAGTCGATTTGGTTGGCCTGACTTGTGAGTGGATTCACTCTGATAGGCTGAAGCTGAGCTTCCAGGAGCTATTAATGGGCGAGTGAGAGAAACAGAGATATCTAAAGGAGCCATGAAAACACACGAAGTGGAGATTGTGAAGGCGAATTGAGGAGCAATGAATCAACGACCCCGATAAATTGACCACTGATAATAATTATAGTAATAAAATCCAAGAATTTTTGAATGTGACAATAACCTCGTCCCATTCCATCGAACAAATCGATTTCGATCGCATTCTCGAAGCCGGCATCACCAATTCGGGATGAAGAAGGGTGTGGATTAAAATTCGGTGGCGAATCTGACAAAAGAGGAATGGGTAAAATCGAGGGTCCAGGTAGGTCGAAGACGGGAGATTGTGTCGAATGATAGGTTATCACTGCTGATAATGAGAGGGACCCAGTCTGATTCGATTCCTGTAAATGGCCTGCCAATTTAAATGGTTCAGAGTATGACGGCATTGGTAAACCAGTTGCTCATTTCTTCTTCCTTTCGTTAATTCACGCATGTTTTCCGATGGGGGAAAGAAGTGATCATACAGGAAACGAACTCATAGCAAGCGAAGGAGAGGATAAAAGTTAGCACACACCCAGTTCACACGAAACCTTCCAAACAACCAGCCATTGATTGGCCAACTTGGCTACCTGCAATGTGACGCGAGTACCGGTATTTGTAGGCTTAAGTTTATGAGGATGGCTTGAATCGAGTCGTTCGGATTCATTGGGAGGTTCCGCCTTGGCATGCGAGTAGCTGCCAGTGAAAAGCTGGAAGGGTTTAGATAGCTGATGAGACTCGTATTGGCTTGACGCGTCAGAGTGAGGAATACGGATCGAGGGCTGAGGACGACCAAGCAAATTCGGCTGTTTGGAACGATTCTGCCTCGGCGATGGACCTGGGGAATCCACATGATACCTCTCCGCTCGAATCGAAGGGATGGTGGTGGGACTGCCAGCTTGTAGCACATTGCCTTGGATATGGATCGAAAGATTCGCTTGTAGATGGTTCTGAATCAGATCATGTTCTGTAAATCCGACATTCGCAGGTTCGGTGAGGCTTAGAATGATATGGACCTTCAACGATTCACCTGGAAGAAGTCATGTACAACAATAGTAATTGATTAGTTCAAGCAATGATACTGTTTGAATTCCAGAGATGGAAATCATACTCACCCAGATAAACGGATTGACGAGTGGGGGTTTTGATAAGTTTATCCAACCAACTCAGGAGTTCTGACTGGTCTGTGGGATGTTGGTCATCCGATTCAGGCAGGATGGCAGTCTGATCGGCCGGGATGATGTATTTGATTCTTGCCGATTGAAAGGCGGCAGGCCAATCTGCTGGGATCTGATTGGGTATTGTCAACAGGTCTGAAGTGCGTTGGTGGGCCGTTGAGGTTGGGTTGTCCATGCTGATTTGATGTGGTTGTGACGAGAAGTTGAACTCGGAGGGTTCCTCTCTCGAATGGCAGATAAGCAAATGACAGCTCGCTACAAACCTTGCAAACCAACCTCACACATAGCAGCTTGGAAAAGACATCAGTCCATGTGTATATATTACGAGAAAGTTTCTGAAGCAATCCAAGTGAAATGAACAAAACAAAAACATCAAGAACAAGAATCTAAGAGGGCATAAGAAGCAAAGACGCAGTAACAAGATTTAAACAGTAGATTCAATGAGAAAGTTTGGACGATTGGGATCAAGTTTCAAGATCAGATGATCCTCATGATTGATGTAAGCGATATAAACAGGGACCCTCAAGCCCACAGGATCATGGTCCCGGAGGGAAGGCGGACCTGAGGGAATAGATGGAGTAGGACTGTCGTTAAGATGAAGATGATGATCATGGTCGACCCAATTGGCGAACCAATCCTCGACGTGGTCGGTGATCAAACTAGCCCGCAAGCCGAGCTCAGGGATGTAGGTCTTGAATGACCAGCGATTTGTGAACCGCATCAGAACCGGATCTTGGAGGATGATAGCGGTGAGTTGGTGGTGGACCAATGCCTTGAATCCTTCCGATCCACCCCCATCCTGGGCACAGATCTTGAGCGAGTCTGACGCACCGGCTCGGTCGGAGAGCATCCGGCGTAATAGATAGCTCAACCAGGAGATATTCATCTTCCGGTCTAAGTTGACGATCGGCTTGCTCTCTCGGTCCATCCGATCGATCAACTCCTTCATCCCCTTCAACGATAACACGCCCTGTGAGTCCGCATACGCCCGGCGATCAGCGCGTCTCAAGAGTGCATTCTTAATCTGCCAATGGGCCACCAGATCGCTGTATCTTCGCAGCGGACTGGTCACCTTACAATAGCCAAATCGGTCATTGATCCCTAGGGGGAAGTGATCCATCGGCTCCAGACCGTTGACGGCAGGCATGAACATGATTCTAGACTTCTGGAACTTGAACGGGCTGATGAGGCCTGACTTTGGGTCGATCGATTTCCGTAACTCCTTCCACGTCTCCTGGTTTTGAGTCAAGCCGACTAGGTCCGGCGATGGTTGCGATCTGAAAGCTAGCCGGAAGTCTTGACTCGAATCATTCGAATCAACATAAAACCGACCAGCAAGTCTTCCGGCCATGATCATCATCTCACTCACAAGCGTCTGGGCACTACTCATCCCCCAGGAGTGATTCTTATAATCTTTGATCTGTCCGGGTAGACTGACTGAGAATGATGGAGTACCGACCGTGATACGGGGTGCGAGAGGGATCCCCAAGCTTGGCGAGACCATCGGATCAGACTTGATGGACACTTGAGCCATAGGCAGATGCCACCCCATCGCGCCATCATCCACTCGTCGCTTGGTGAGGATTTGAGAAAATCTACCCAGCTCAAGGATCTGATCTCGCTCGGCTTGGCTAAGCTCTTGTGCCGATATATTCCGGTTCGAGTTTGTTTCACCTCGACTGATCCGATCCGAATCGGGACCAATGTGGATCACTCGTTGTGCTGAAGCATTGGGGCCATCCAAAACTTCGGTAACGGTTTGGTAAGTGAGCTGTTTGGTATTTTTGATCAAACCCGGTCGGATCTTGTACTCAAGAATCTCGCCTTGCTGGTTGATTCGAGCACTGAACGAGAGCGTCTTCTGGCCAGCTTCTCGTGTTGATTTGCTATTCGAACCAAGACTCATTCGATGACTTTCGATGAATTGAGACGGGAGCATTGGCAGGGTGAACCCAGGAAGATAAACTGTGTCAAGATATGCTCGTGCCCGGAGGGAAATTGGATCGGATGGGCCTAGATGAGCAGTAGGGTCAGCGATGTGAACATGAACCCAAGCTTCGAGGTTCCTAGCTGATTGATTGATAAGCTCGATTGAAATGCCATCATCCAACTCTTGTGCTCCTGGATCATCAATGATATAGACCGGTAGATCCCCAAAATCATGGCGCAGCAAATCAGCAGGATCATCTGAAAGCGAGGTGGACCGTTGAGGAGTTGGGGTGCGATCAAATTTCGAGTGGTGTGAGGATGGAGAAGACGGAACGATGGGAAGAGAGGTTTCGGTTGCAGATTTCTGACCGGAAGAATGTGTAAGAGACTTGAGTTGATCCGAAATCCTCTCGGTGAGATCTAAGTCTGGATTCCAAAGTCCAACGCTTTGCCAAGCCGGCAAGATTCCCAAGTCTCTCAGGAGAGCAATGGCCCCGAAGCGATCGAAGGTTAGTGAAGGCCAGGTTTTAGCCATTGCCTCTGAATCATAGAGGCCGATCTTTTTCAGAATGCAAGCAGCTATTGTGCTGTAAGGTTGATCCTGAATCATCCGCTGGTTGATAGCGATAGCATGGAAGACTTCGATGAACATACGATCGGTCGAGGTCCAGGTTGGTAAAGTCAAGGCTGCATATTTCAGGGGAGTACCCAGATTAACGCTCGTTTGGTGTTGTCGATGTGCTTGGACGATTGTTTTACACTTTTCAACAAAACTCTCCAGCTGATTTGAGCTCTGGGCAATCCAATCTCTGACAGTGTAGAGCGCAGTGAGAGTATGGAATGACTGGACCGAGAAACTGGATCCGTCCCGCATTTCTCTGGCATTGGCCAGAAACATATCGGCGTTTTCCATTAGTTGTTGATGAAGTGCAAAGACCATGACTTCATCCTGTGCGTAGCGCGGACCCAGTAAGAATTGTACAGCCTCTTCACTCGTCAGTTGGGCCGACTTTCGAGGGTCAGGATTGCGAAATCGAGAGTAGAGGTTATAAGAGCCTGCTTTGGTGAGGATCGAGTGACATTGGTCAAGTTGCTTTTCCAGAACTCGGAGCGCACGACAACAATCTCTTCGAGCAGCTGCCAATGTTTCCCCCTTCAAGGCAAGTTCTGCTGAGCTTATTTCCAACGGACCCACTGGGATTACTGGATCGTTCAATCCATCAATCGAAAAGTTTTCGTCATATGCCCGCAAAGCCACGTCCTCTGACACGACACCATGCATGATATACATCACATTGTCTAAGATGCTTAATCTAATCTCTCCAGCTCGGTTGACGTACACCACCCCATTTCCGTGGGTTCGCACAAGGATTCCGCCCTCCGATTGGTTGGTCCTTTTAGAATTAAAATAGTCACAAATCTCCGAGTCAGTACAGAGTCATGTGGCAATATCAAATTTGAGATGAAGACTTTACCTTCTTAACTCCAGGAAGCTTCCTGGTCTGAGACCTCGGATACCTTTGGCACCTGGCGAGATTCCCAATTGACGGCGCACAGCAGTTCCCGGGTCAGAATCGGAGTCGTGCAGAGTATAGTCAAGATCGGGGAAAGCGAAAGTAGTATGATCGCCGACGATATCGATCACATCTGGCGAATTCTTGTGAAGAATACGAGCGGTGGGTCTCTTATGGGTACTGGGTGCAGTACTTTGGTTACGGTGTGATATTGAGAAAGTATTGAACTGGCGACGTTGTGGAACAATCGGGTTTTTTGCAATGGGGGTTTTGGCTTGATGGTGGAAGCCAGATAGCGGATAACTTGGTTCGTGATCGGGCTGAACACGACCTCGTTTACGTTCTTCTTCCCACCATCGATAGTTGACCTTCGATCGCTTGACAGGCCGGTAGCCTTGAGATTTGAGGTCTTCCCACTTGATTGCTGCTCTGAAGTCGGTTGATCGATTATAGAATACACCAAACGATTCAATCAATCGCCTGGCGGTTGGCATGAATGTGTCCCAATCGGCCTGATTCCTGGAGTCATCTTCATTAGTTTGATTAAGATGGGATTGCTTCAGGTGAGGATTGATAGTCGATGCATTGATTGAACGGGAGAGAGGATGATGCGTGAAGAAATTGACAGAGGGTGGCAATTGAGTAGGGGGTTTGTTAATCATTGATGGCGTGAGTTATGCTTGGCGTGAGCGTGAACTGCTGGAGTTTCTGTTGAGAGGCCAGCCACGATAATGAGCCCTACGTCCACAACGAACCTAAACAAGAGCGAACCGCAGATTCAGTCACCTAAACAGTTAACAAGAGAAAGAAGTATCAACTCAACGTGTGTACAACCAGACCCACTTCCAAAAACGAGGACGTAGTTTTTGAAGGGTGCTCAAACGTCTGGAAAATAGCCAAGATTGCAAGTCAGTGGGGTGACCGGTAATCAAGGGTCGAGAAAATGATACTTGATGAAATTGTGGAAAACGAACTTACCTGGATGGTGGAGGAATTCCTCCAATATGGAGCTGAACGATCGAAAAATTCCGACTGGTTATCAATAACAAAAAATTCTGGGCCAGTCAAAATTAAACCACAGGAGCGGTGCCATGGGGGGCTCACAGCCGATGTTAACCCTCTTTCATAAATCCAAAATATAGGCACATGTCATTCCTTGGCACTATGTCCCGCTGTTCCAGATTCATCATCTTCATGTCATCAAGGAATGCAGTAAATTCAACTGACCTCTCAAGGTGTAAAACATGTCATGCTGATTTGTAGAATATGCTCGAAATTTCAATCCAAATTTCTATCATCAATTTCATCATCTTCTGGAAGTGTTTTGGGGAGACATGTGTACAGCACATCTCACATAGAATATTTTAGGACTCCAATAATTTAATTCTGAAATGGTTTACTCTAGTTTTAGGAGAAACCTGCCTTTCTAGATGGCATAGAACCAATGTAATTTCAATTGGATTGCAATGCTAGATACGAGGAAATCTGGCTGGATCTATGGATTTCTATCATCTGGAAACATGTATAAAAATTGAAAAAAACAATCAAAAAAAAGAAGCCAGATAACAGAAAAGGCAAGTGAAGGAAATGATCAATGAAGCGTTGAACAAGAGAAGAACCTAATACTCCAGAGAGGAATGAGAAAAGAGTTAATTGAAACAACAGCTTTTTTTCTTGTTGAATGATAGGAAGGAGAAAACTGAGTAAGTATAATAATTTTGTGGCCTAGATTTTGGAATTGGATACATATCCAATGACCTGTGAGATTCGCTTTTCACAGGTATCCTTCAGTTCACCTAATTCAAAAATCTCACTACAATCTTCCTTCAAACCGTCATTGGAGAGAACAGCCTTATATTCATCCAAAATGTGCTGAAAATAATTTGAAATTTCTGATAATTCCTTGAGAAGCTCCACTTTTGGTTTTGGCTCATGATGTTTATCAACTTTATAAAAAGACCAATAAAAAGACATTGACTTGATCTCAATAAATTTGAGACCTTCAAAATAGCGGCCAATGTTGTTGATTTCTTCAATGCAATCAAAGCTTGAGGACCATAAACTCATTTTGTGCTTGAACAAATTGCTGTTTTCATTCAATTCAAGAATATCTTCCCCATAGTTTCCTAAAATCAGTTGCAAGATCAAGAATGAGCCTATCTTTTTTTCCTTTATGTTAGCCTCAGTTCCCTGTTGTAGGAGAATGTCCCTCAAGGATTTAAGAGTTTTTGTTATTTCAAAGAAATTCATGTTTCCTTCCTTAAATTGCTCCAAGTTTGATTGCTCTTGGGCTTGTTGGTATTTTTCTAATGTTTCAAAGAATAGGTTATCTTCAAACTTCAAAGTGAATAAATTTGAAATACTTCTCATTGACCTTTGGTAACTAACTCTAAACAGTTCATTGAGGGCTTGATAATCAAATCTCCTCTGCTTTTCGCTCTCCAGAGCTTTCCAAATGGATGAATTCAGAAGAGAAGAAGAAAAATCAGAATTCAGTTTCTTATAGCGAGTTGAAAGGTTGAGAAATTATTGAATGTCTATTTCACCTTTGAACCAAGTCCTGTAATGAGAAAAGTACCAGTTTTTGGGAATAACTTTGCCATTGGGAAATTTTTTGTATGCATAATAATGAAGCCTGTAATTGATGTCAAATGTTTTGATCATGTTGCTTGCAGAAATATCTAATATGTTGCCTTGGGAGAAGAAATCTTGGAACATTTTTTGACTAATCAACTTGTGATTGTACAAGTAAGCAATGGTCTTAAATGCAACATCTCTAATCTCCAAAGGCTTCCGAGTGACTACATAATTCAGTGCATACACATTTTCTTCTAATCCATAAGTAAAGGAAGCAATCTCATATAACTTCTTATTCCAACCTTGATTCCAAATGTTTTGGAGTTTTTGTTCCTGTGATTTTTCTATGTGCTTGTGAATTGCTTTCAATTCTTCCATTTTCTTATCAAATTGGGCTTGTTGATCTTCAGAAAGGTATGTTACATTGGAATCTTTTGCCACACTGTCGCTTATTTCTTTTATGAAATTGAATTCATCATGCATAGAATCTTCTTGAACTTTTGGTCCAAGGAAAATTTATTTAAATAAGAAAACAATATCATTAATGTGAGTTTCTAGATAGTTTGATAATGATTTGTAAAATATTTTAAATTACCTGTGCCAGTGGTTGGAAAGACCTTAACTTCTTTTTTTAACTCAGGGATATTTGAAAATACATTTTGGATTTCTTCTTTTGCTGGAACACTGGATACCAAGGTACTTTCATTATCTGTCTTGTCTTCCCCTTTGAATAAAAATCTGGAAATGTTTTGTCTAATACTAGAAGAGGATGATGTGCAGCTATCAATATCCATATGGTCTCCTTCCTTTGATGTGACTCTGGGGACAATTTTCCTGGAAGAGGGGACTGAGAAAAAAACAATCTTAGTCAGTCTGGAATTTTTTGCTTGCATTAAATCAGAAAACCAAGCTAAATCAAATAGAATCAATCACATGAACACAGCATATATTGGCATGCAAGCAAAAAGCACAACAAAATTAATTGAGTCTTTCTGATGCTATAGTAACTTGCCATGGTTTGTGATAGATGTGAGAAATTGATCTCAAATTCTCAAAAATACTGGGTTAATAGTAAGTGGTTACTCAAGGGAAGGACCTGGTATTTATTGGCTTTTTTCCATCTGCTATGGCCTAATACAAACATTACCTTAGACATAAGTTTATCATACATGTAACTGGGTTCCATATCCATATCACATATTGTGGCAGTACATGTAATTATTTCTGTGAGGTAAAAGCAAAGCTGAAACAGATACAAGACATGACAGTATCAGGCATTTATTTGTATTGTCTCAGAATTTGAATACCCAAAAATATCATATTTGTGTTGTCTCACTTTCCTGAGACAATACACACGCATTGTCTTTGGAAAGTGAGATAGGTATTCTGTATTGTCTCAGTGTGCTGATCCCACCAAGAAAGCCTTTGATACACATGATATTGGGCTGTATTTAAGAAAAAAGAAAAAAATTCCAAATCCAAGACGGTGGATTTTCTCACCAAAAAAGGAAATACTGGTATTACCAATATCAATATCAGGCTCAAAATAAAGACAATACAAGACAATACCAAATATGTGTCTTTTCTCTGTTGCAATGTTGGTAAAAGTAGGGATGACCCAGCCTGACAGTAGGGTTCAATCCAAAATCATCAAAACACCAGTACACCTGTGATTCATGACAGAGTTTTACACAAAATCACAGAAGAACCAAGCCTGCTGGTTTGACAACAACTTTATCACCCGCTAAAACGGTGAAGTCTTGTTGCTACTGCAGTGTAACACATTTCAGGTCCTCACACTAAATGATTGTATTGCAAGATGCATGGAGGGAGCAGATTGACATTGTTACAAAAATAAAAAAATATCAAACTTGATATTCATTGTAAACTCAAAGGCTTTTGACGGGACTTGACAAAACCAGAAAACAAATATAATAAGGCCCAATTATGGTATCAAGAAGATACCAACCCCCAAAGGCAACAGTGGGACACTACACTACACTACACTAAAGGGCCTTTTAGAGTTAGCTTAGTGGTAGTGGCAGCCACTATCTTTTGTGTAGTGTTAGCATGTGCTCCTGCCCTCTACACTACACTACTTTGTAGCGGCAACAGCACACCTTTTTTGGGTCATGTTAGCGCACCGCTATTGCTGCTATGCTACAGCACTTTTAGCGGCAAAAGAGGCCAAAAGGTTTCTAAAAAGTTCTGTAGCGCATCATAGCGGTTGCTTTTTTGGGATCTGTGCACGTAGCGAGAGCACAGATGTGTGGAATCACGCTAACACTACTAGTATTAGTGCAGATTTGCAGGATTGTGCATGTAGTGTTAGTTCAGATTTGCAGAATTGCACTCACACTATGCTAAATGTTAGCTTATCTTAGCTACACTATGCTACGCTACCACTACGGTTAGTGTAGCTGGCCCACTGTTGCCAAAGGCCAGAGTGGCAAGACACATTTCCTCTTTTGGGCCCCACCAAGGCAGAAACAGAGGCAAGACAAGACAATATCCGGCATTTATTTGGGGCATTAATAAAAAAACCCGCATTTTCCGCGTTTTGACGCGCTTTTGCTGCGGCACAGCACACGCGCATTCCGCTTTTAAACCCGCATTTTTAATTAATTTTTTTTTGCCATTAATTTCGAGTTTTTTTGATTTTTTAAAAATTTTTCCTACACTCTGAAGGGTGTAGAATTTAATGGTAAAGTCCATTTACCATAAAAATGACTTTGATTTTTTTTTTTCTGCTTACTCATTTTTTCAATTAATTGTTTGCATGCATGTATGTACCTTATTTTTTATGCTTTTTTGAAATTTTAAAATTATTTCCTAGGTTTCAATGTGTGTAGAATTTAATGGTGCAATCCAATTTTTTTAAAACTCAACGGTTCATTTTTAATACTGAAATTAGACCCATTTTTTCACTTGATTTTTTAAAGCCTAGATTCTCATCATTTTTGACATTTTAAATTATTTGCCACACTTTAGACATGTAGAAAATGATGTAACAACCATTTTTCCCCAAAATGAAAAATACATCTTGAATACTGCATTTGACACCGTTTTTTAATTGAATTCTTCACTTTTTCACTCAATTGTTTGCATACACATGTGTACCTTATTTTTTATGCTTTTTTGATATTTTAAAGTTTTTTCATACATTTAAAAGTGTGTAGAATTTAATGGTAACATCCAATTTTCTTAAAACTCAACAGTTCATTTTTAATACTGAAACTAGACACTTTTTCAATTAATTCTTTACATGTTATTTCTCACTATTTTTTGACATTTTAAGTTTATTTCCCACACTTTAATACATGATAAAAATGATGGTAACAACCATTTTACATAAAAATCAGCGCTCGTTACTGAATACTGCAGTGGACAGGCTTTTTTTAATGTTTTTTTGATTGATTTTTACCGGCCTGATTTTAAGCATTTTTTTTATTTTAAATTTATTTCCTACATTTACAAATGTTTAGAATTGAATGGTGAAGTCCAATTTCACTCAAAATACAAGCTTCAATCTTAATAGATGAGTGTACCCCGTTTCTTGCATAATTTGTACCATATACAAATCTTATTTGAATGCAAAATGTATACAGCCATCAATTCTGAAACCTTTAAAAGTGTAGGAAATGAGCTTGAAATTCCAAAAAATAAGGATAATTGAGCGTGTAAGAATTAATTCAGGAAACACGTCAAAGGCATTATTCAAGATATAGTTTTCATTTTGATGAAAATTCGTTGTTACCATAATTTTGAACATGTTTGAAAGTGTAGGAAACAAATTTAAAATGTCGAAAAATAATGAAAATTAAGCTCTTAAAAATCGATTGAAAAATATGACTAATTACAGTATCCAGAATGAACC